CTGTCAACAGTTCTTGACTGGGGACCTGTGCTCGCTCCATGGTGGGTCATGTGTGCGGGAGTCCGCTTGTCCTACTGGGCTCTTCCACCCGAAGAAGGGCCTGTGTCGATCGCAGCAGAAGCTGGGCGTTGAATGCTGCCTTGATCGTGAGTACGATGATTAAAATGTAATTATATGGCTTGAATTTATTCCAACAAAAGCCCGTTCGAAATTGTAACCCCCAAGCTCTAACTGTACTGCTCTCTTTCTCTTACTGTTTAGTACGGCTCTAAATGGCCTGCCTACGGCTGCTATTTACTTTGTAAATGTTACAACAAACTCTTTCCCTTTCCCTCATGCTTCTCCTAAGGACCTCAAGGTCTTCTTTATGTTGTTTATAATGTCAATGATGTTACCTGGAAGTGCATGCCTGATAAAAGGCAATGCATTTGTTGGTCTCCCATCTGCTTCTTCGTTTCCTCTCCTACATGCTATGAACTTACCTTGCTCACCGCATGTGCCGCCTTCTTTCCACAGCTCCGGACATCCCAGGAGGATGCGGGTCTGCAGGAGGTGAGTGTAATCCCATCGAGGTGTGCGGCAACGGCCCGAGGGACCCGAACGGAAAGTGCCGTAAGGGGGAAGTATGCTGCATCTTTGTCGTTTAGCTGTGAAGAAGAGCGAAGAAAACTAGAGAACTCTCGGATCATTTTGAAGAAAAATGTATATCTTCTACCTGCGGCCAATGGGACGTCATCTTCTACCTGCGGCCAATGGGACGTCATCTTCTACCTGCGGCCAGGGGGGGGGGGCGTGATCTACCTGTGGCCAGGGGGACGTGATCTTCTACCTGTGGCCTGGGGGTCTATATCTTCTAGCTGCGCCCAGGGAGACTTCATCTTCAATATGCATCCTGGGGAGTTCTCATCTCCTATGCGGGTCCTGATACGCTTCAACTTTTAGCTGTGTCCTGGGAGACTTCATCTTATAGCTGTGTCCTGGGGGAAGGACTATTAGGAATTTTATCCTTAATTTAGCTTGGCTCCCATTTAATAATAAACATTAGCAAGATTAGTTGACATTATCAAAATAAGGTTGTCAAGAAATATGTTATTAAAGATTACATCTAGGTGACACTCTTGATACATAATAAAAATATTAATACAAATACAAAAATGTACTTATTTTCCATTTCTGCTTGATATGAAAAATTTTCACAATCACAAAAATCCTGCTTGCACCATTAACATATTATAATACTCGTCAGGGAAACAGGTCCAAAACTTATAGATTTAAAATAATTTTTCTCCTACCGAGTAAATTTCCAAATGGCTACTGAACTTCTATGTGACTTGTCATAATATGGTTATAATATCTCACTGGTCGCTGCTTCGAACCCAATTACATTAACATAACTTTACTGGATTGCGCTCGATGACTTATGTGAGTAATGTGGACTGTCTATGAACAAAGATTAAGAAGGGGAAACTTAGATCTTTTTGAGGAACAGACACGCACAGCCATCCGTCTTCAGTACTCACCTCACCTGGCTGTACTCACCTAGTTGTGCTTGCGGGGGGGGGGGGGGTTAAGCTCTGGCTCATTGGTTCAGCCTCTCAACTGTCAATCAACTGGTAAAAGTGGTCGTGGCCAGTAGCCTCTCCCGCCAGCAGCCGCCCTCAGGCTCTCAGAGATCATAAGGATCATAATTAAGGCTAACCTAGCTAGGGCAGTTACAGCTATATTTCTGAAGGTCTATCTCTGAAGCTAGACACATGTAGAGAGGTCTACAAGACATCGTGATTGCTCAAAATGTGATATTAGCTTAACAACAATATAGAAAATGGATTACGGGTAACACTTGAAAGTCGGGTGGAGCAGTAAACTAACATTACTAGGTTGTAAACTTAATTCATACATTTCCTTAATTGCATTCCATTCTTGCTCTTAATTACCTTGGACCAGCCTCTAAGCTTAGCAACTAATATATATGGTGAGCTAGTTTCATAGTTTGATTTGTTTATAGGTATAACTCTAGCAGTCTATACACCAACACAATTCCTCCTCATCCACTTCTTCCAGATAAAAACAGACGGCAACAATATCAAGGAGTGAGGATCTATGGCCCACTCGATCCTCAATATATTTAATCTTTATCCTCGATTAAATAGGCCCCTAGTGGGGCTTACGGCTGAGTGGACAGCGATCGGGATTCATAGTCCTAAGGTTTCGGGTTCCATCGCCGGCAGAAGCGGAAACAAATGGGCAGAGTTCTTTTCACCCTGATGCCACTGTTCACCTAGCAGTAAAAAGGTACCTGTGAGTTAGTTAGCTGCTACGGGCTGCTTCCTGGGGATGTGTAACAAAAAAGGATGCCTGGTCGAGGACCGGGTCGCGGGGACATTAAGCCTCGAAATCATCTTACGATAACCTCAAGAAATACATATATATGTATATATGAATGAGATTGGGTGGATATAAATAGGAGCTGCCTCGTATGGGCCAAAAGGCCTTCTGCAGTTACCTTGATTATTATGTTTCATATATGTTCTTATGCTTCAGCAGGAAGGTTAAATTATATTGATCTTCCGACCTGCGCTCAAGCAGAGCCCACCATCATTCTTGGTGACTACAGTGTTAGACACAAGGACAATGGTGACATGAAGATGTGCAGATTGTGGGCGACCTGGAAGCCACTCATATTTCTGAAGGCATTTTAGACCTCTGTGTCGGGTTCAGCGTCTCTCACGTCTGGTGCACATCATCTATTGTAACAAATTTGTTGTTAGATCATCACCCGAGATTGACTACTGCGTGTATCGGAAATACCATCCTACTCGGTGAGACTATTAAACGCAAATGGTTCAGTGTTCTTCATGTTCGACGTGAAGACTTTATTGCTCATGTGTCAGTTGTTGTTTTAGATTCAGCTACTCTGAACAAAAAGTTCCAAGTAGCACGAGCTATGATGAGCCTATAGTGAACTTAGCTGACACAGGAGCGGGGCTGTAGCTGTGTGGTCATGTGACAGTGATACAGTACATATGATCCCTCCACATTACACACACATTTAACAACAATCTAGTACATAACATTCAGATATTTGCCGACCCTTCAGGTCGGCGTCCCTCACCATCCAAGAGTCGGAACTTTATAAAAAGTAATGAACACCATGCCTATTACAATGACCCCAAACTGCCTACTTTGAAACACACTGCCAGAAGAGTTCGACTTACAAATAAGGAAACCCGTTTGCCTGAGATGATCAAGTTCTTTCCGAGAGCCCTAGCCAAGACGAGGGAGCGCATGACAGAGCTCACGCAAAATAACTAGGAAACATTTGTTAACAGTCTCAACTCTCACACCCCTCTCAACCAGGCATGGAAGGATCAAAGGCGATAAGACTAGCAAAGTGTCACACCCTCACCCTCTATACAGAGCAAACGAGTTAGTCGATGCTTGAGCAAACACTTCTAGCTTCAATAGTCTTCCCCCAGAAACATAATTAAGACTAATTACTGGTTACAACGATAGAGAAAGGCTTGTTGTGGAGCAAGAAGAATGCAACGTGTCATTTACTGAGTTTTTAGTTGCTTTCGGCCCTAAACAAAGGTAAAGCCACATCCCCCGGTGAGGATGGTATCACTTATGATATTGCGTTTGCTTCCTCCAGTACCAGGAAATCCCCCTTCTTGAGATGTATAATATGAGCTATGTAACTTCGGAACTTCCTATCTCTTGGACTAACAGTATAATCATTCCAATTCCCAAGCCAAATCAAGAGAATACTTTCTGCCCAATTTCCCTTACTAGCTGCATTTGCAAAACATTCGAGAGAATGGTCCTAAACCGTCTCCTCCATAGAATAAGAACCATGCTATCCCCCCAGATATATGGCTTCATGCATGGAAGGAGTGTGCATCATTGTATCACCACCTTTCTTACCCTGCACACTGAAAAGTCATATACCACCTTCCTAGATCTCAAGTCTGCCTTTGAAATTGCAAATCGACATGTTATCTTGAGTGAGCTTGCTTCGAATTAGGTACCCCCCCACAGGGAGGTGTACTCAGTCCTATCTTATTTAGTATCTTAATAAACACGTTGTTAAACTCCACAAACTCTGTACCCAGCAAACCCAACGTGCACATCATTAGATATACTGATGATATAATGATACACACCACTGTGTATGCTAACATGCAGAACACTGTTAACTCTGCAATAGACTCATGTCAGGACCTCAGGTTCTCGGCAGAGAAAACAAAGATCGGCGCCCACCCAGGCAGGGAGAAGCTGTTCGCAAGATGCAACTGTATGATGGCTCCCAGCTTGTCTATGTTAACAGATTCAAATACCTTGGCCTTGAGGTGCCACTGTATGGTCCTGTTGTAATCAGACTCTGTCGTCAGTATAAAGAGAGGCTGAGAGCTCTCAAGGCTGTTGCAGCTTATCACTCAGGCTATGGTGCCAGTGTCAGAATTGTCAAAATGATGAAGCTTGCATACATTAAATATTTTGTGGATAATGCTGCATCTCTGCTTGCCTTGATGTCTGAAAGAAAGGGTGGAGGGCTTGAAAAATTGCAGAACGAAGCCTTGAGGATAATCGTTGGATGCCCCCGTACCACAAAGATACTCAACATGAGCAAGGAACTTAATATTCCAAACATCGTTGATCGTGATACTGAAATTAACTGTCAAATTGGTATAAAAATGCTTAGGCTAACTCATCCTAACCCTTGCACAGAAGCCCTCCAGAATTACTTTATTGAAGGTCAACATTGTTCCGAATGGATAACTAAAACTGGAACTGAACTTAGAATGTATCAGATTTATAATTTGTACCAAGAGAAACAACAACGGCACTTTCCTTCACAGTGGAAGATTACAGCATTTCCAATTTTAATCCCTACCAACCACTTGGGCTGGGCGGTAGAGAGCGGGCTCGCTTCATGCAGGTCGGCGTTCAATCCCCGACCGTCCAAATGGTTGGGCACCATTCCTTCCCCCCGTCCCATCCCAAATCCTTATCCTGACCCCTTCCCTGTGCTATATAGTCGTAATGGCTTGGCTGATAATTCCCTCCCTCCCTTTCCACCCAAGAAGCAATTAGAGATCAGCCCAAGCTTCGTCTTGAGGCAAAGCTCAATGCCTAAGCCATATTAATGCTCTGTCCACAGAGCATTCTCTCTCAAATCATACACACTGATGATTCCCTACACCGCCCCACGAGTGCAGCTGGAAGTGCAGTTGTCCTGACAATGGGCGATGGCTTATATTTTGAGTGGGGAGTCCGTAACTGACAACTGACTGACGGAGACTTTACCAGTCTCCGTGAGTAGTGGAATTGAGGCCATAACGTGTCCGTTTTGCTTTTTTTGAGGGACACGTTATGGCCTCATGTGTTTTCGTTACAAATGGCGGGGGACACGTTATGGCCTAGGTGTTTTTTGTTACAAATGGTGAGGGAGACGTTATGGTCTAGGTGTTTTTTGTTACAAATGGCGAGGGAGACGTTATGGTCTAGGTGTTTTTTGTTACAAATGGCGAGGGACACGTTATGGCCTCATGTGTTTTCGTTACAAATGGCGAGGGACACTTTATGGCCTAGGTGTTTTTTGTTACAAATGGCGAGGGACACGTTATGGCCCCATGTTTTTTCGTTACCCCGGTGAGATTTAAGGGACACGTTATGGCCCCATGTTTTTTCGTTACCCCGGTGAGATTTAAGGGACACGTTATGGCCCCATGTTTTTTCGTTACCCCGGTGAGATTTAAGGGACACGTTATGGCCCCATGTTTTTTCGTTACCCCGGTGAGATTTAAGGGACACGTTATGGCCCCATGTTTTTTCGTTACCCCGGTGAGCCATGCACGGGCATTGCTAATGGTCAATGACGTCATCAACTTACCTGGGGATTAAAAGGCTGGCTTCTGGCCCCATCATATTTCGCACAGGCATTGCTAATAGTCACCCCGTATTCTTCTTCCCTGAATAAGTCCGTTTTCTGTTATAGTATGTTTATTCCCATTTTCAATATTTATAGCAAAGGGGGATTCAAATGCTACCTTCTGTCAAGCCTAATGTGCAATGGCGTTAATCATTATAAGCTCGTTTTTCTCAATAAGGTATTGCCGTACTGTTTCCCATTGTCTAAGATCATTTTA